TGTTGCTAAATAACAGTGTATTTAGTGGATTTTAACAGTTTGGATTTATGATCTTTTACAAGTAAACAGAGCGCTTGGATCCATACGTCAACTCAATATCATTGGCTTATGACATCATCCATATTTAGAACCGTTCGTTGGATGTCGGATTTAGATAGGATGACAATTATTTAGTGTCTTCGTCTTGCGCTGTAATGCAGCCGAATAACTTCGACTCGAAGAAAAATTACAAAGCAATTAGTATATATATGATATTTAGCACACGTATATATCCACGTATATATAACAGCAAAGGTCAGTCTCATTGGAAATACATTATCACATTTAACCATGATATTTTTGTTTACCTCATTTCCTCGTGATATCATGTGGTAAACGTAAGATCGGGGCCTTTTTCCTTCATCTGCATCCTGGAAATAACAGTAAAGTCATGAAGCTTATGTATTAAATCTAGAAGCATTGAGTGGGTTTATCATAACAATTCATCGCTGAATTTTTTTTTACAAGAATAAAAAAATCGAGTTTCTAACAGATTTTCAATCCCATCATAAGCAAAGTATGCCTGAAAAATATAATTTCATAGCTAGTGTTTGGGGGATTCTCTTGGGAAGTAAATTATTAATACGTGGGCGAAAATTTTTGATTGTAGTTTTATTGAAAGCGATGACATTTTTGATTTATTTGTTTTCAAAAATATGCACCGAACAGTAATAATATTTTCAGTCTAAAATCTGATTCTTATCTAATATTGCGAGGGCATATGTGCAAACAATGACTATTTGACATCGTCTGTGTTCCAGACATTTGTGCAAACAATGAAGTGACGTATTTAACAACGCACTTCCGTTCGTGACAGATACATCTTGATGTGTTTTAGAATCTCAAATCCCTTAAATATCAGGTTTAAATTTTCATGTCAAATTATATAAAAAACAAGTTTTCACTGGCTTCTTTATAGTTTTTTTTCTAGTCATGCAACATTGCTGGCAATAAATTTAGCAAAATTGTTTCAAAACAAAATAGATATATTTTGCTGAATTAACATAAATATAAACGCACTGTTTGCACTCAGCGCTATCTGTTCTCTTTTATCAAACTGCATTGCCGTAGATTTGGGTACACCAATGACATAATAGATACAATATAATCTTGTTGCTTTTCCGAAATTTATCATCAAAGTGTTTCAAATTTCACACAGAAATTCTCCACGGATCCACGTCGTTTTTCACTTAAGAACAGCAAAGAGTGGTTTAAATAAAATTAAAATTCTGGAAATACAGTAAAACATAGGGTGGGCAAAAAATGTAAAAAATGGTATCCTTTTTGGCCGCCCCTGTAAATGTTTTAACTTTGTGTATATCAAGCGCATAGGCTGGCTTGAAATTCAGAACTTGCAGTCTATATTGCGAAACAATAAAGTAAAACCTCCATCTCAGTCTCGACGTACGATTGTTTTGTACTTATTGATTGTGAACTGTGAGATATTCATGTGGGCAAGGTATAAATATTCTAACCGTTTAACGGAATGTAAACTAAGTAAATTATTAATCCGTGGGCAAAAAATTTTAATCGTAGTTTTATTGAAAGCGATGACATTTTTGATTTATTTGTTAGCAAAAATATGCACCGAACAGTAATAATATTTTCAGTCTAAAATCTGATTCTTATCCAATATTGCGAGGGCATATGTGCAAACAATGAAGTGACGTATTTCACAACGCACTTCCGTTCGTGACAGATACATCTTGATGTGTTTTAGAATCTCGAATCCCTTAAATATCAGGTTCAAATTTTCATGTCAAATTATATAAAAAACAAGTTTTCACTGGCTACCTTATAGCTTTTTATTCCTTATTCCTTATATTTTTTTCTAGTCATGCAACATTGCTGGCAATAAATTTAGCAAAATTGTTTCAAAACAAAATAGATATATTTTGCTGAATTAACATAAATATAAACGCACTGTTTGCACTCAGCGCTATCTGTTCTCTTTTATCAAACTGCATTGCCGTAGATTTGGGTACACCAATGACATAATAGATGCAATATAATCTTGTTGTTTTTCCGAAATTTATCATCAAAGTGTTTCAAATTTCACACAGAAATTCTCCACGGATCCACGTCGTTTTTCACCTAAGAACAGCAAAGAGTGGTTTAGAAAAAATTAAAACTCTGAAAATACAGTAGAACATAGGGTGGGCAAAAAATGTAAAAATGGTATCCTTTTTGGCCGCCCCTGTAAATGTTTTAACTTTGTGTATATCAAGCGAATAGGCTGGCTTGAAATTTAGAACTTGCAGTCTATATTGCGAAACAATAAAGTAAAACCTCCATCTCAGTCTCCACGTACGATTGTTTCGTACTTATTGATTGTGAACTGTGAGATGTTCATGTGGGCAAGGTATAAATATTCTAGCCGTTTAACGGAATGTAAACTAAGTAAATTATTAATCCGTGGGCAAAAAATTTAATTGTAATTTTATTGAAAACGATGACATTTTTGATTTATTTGTTAGCAAAAATATGCACCGAACAGTAATAATATTTTCAGTCTAAAATCTGATTCCCATCCAATATTGCGAGGGCATATGTGCAAACAATGAAGTGACGTATTTCACAACGCACTTCCGTTCGTGACAGATACATCTTGATGTGTTTTAGAATCTCGAATCCCTTAAATATCAGGTTTAAATTTTCATGTCAAATTATATAAAAAAACAAGTTTTCACTGGCTTCCTTATAGTTTTTTTTCTAGTCATGCGACATTGCTGGCAATAAATTTAGCAAAATTGTTTCAAAACAAAATGGATATATTTTGTTGAATTAACATAAATATAAACGCACTGTTTGCACTCAGTGCTATCCGTTCTCTTTTATCAAACTGCATTGCCGTAGATTTGGGTACACCAATGACATAATAGACAGAATATAATCTTGTTGTTTTCCCCAAATTTATCATCAGAGCGTTTCAAATTCACACAAAAATTCTCCACGGATCCACGTCGTTTCTCACTTAAGAACAGCAAAGAGTGGTTTGAATAAAATTAAAATTCTGGAAATACAGTGAAACATAGGGTGGGCAAAAAATGTAAAAAATGGTATCCTTTTTGGCCGCCCCTGTAAATGTTTTAACTTTGTGTATATCAAGCGCATAGGCTGGCTTGAAATTTAGAACTCGCAGTCTATATTGCGAAACAATAAAGTAAAACCTCCATCTCAGTCTCGACGTACGATTGTTTTGTACTTATTGATTGTGAACTGTGAGATATTCATGTGGGCAAGGTATAAATATTCTAACCGTTTAACGGAATGTAAACTAAGTAAATTATTAATCCGTGGGCAAAAAATTTTAATCGTAGTTTTATTGAAAGCGATGACATTTTTGATTTATTTGTTAGCAAAAATATGCACCGAACAGTAATAATATTTTCAGTCTAAAATCTGATTCTTATCCAATATTGCGAGGGCATATGTGCAAACAATGAAGTGACGTATTTCACAACGCACTTCCGTTCGTGACAGGTACATCTTGATGTGTTTTAGAATCTCGAATCCCTTAAATATCAGGTTTATATTTTCATGTCAAATTATATAAGAAACAAGTTTTCACTGGCTTCCTTATAGTTTTTTTTTGTCATGCAACATTGCTTGCAATAAATTTAGCAAAATTGTTTCAAAACAAAATGGATATATTTTGTTGAATTAACATATAAACGCACTGTTTGCACTCAGTGCTATCCGTTCTCTCTTATCAAACTGCATTGCCGTAGATTTGGGTACACCAATGACTTATTAGATAGAATATAATCTTGTTGTTTTTCCCAAATTCATCATCAAAGCGTTTCAAATTTCACACAAAAATTCTCCACGGATCCACGTTGTTTCTCACTTAAGAACAGCAAAGAGTGGTTTAAATAAAATAAAAATTCTGGAAATACAGTAGAAGATAGGGTGGGCAAAAATGCAAAAAAAGGTATCCTTTTTGGCCGCCCCTGTAAATGTTTCAACATTGTGTATATCAAGCGAATAGGCTGGCTTGAAATCTAGAACTTGCAGTCTATATTGCGAAACAGTAAAGTAAAACCTCCATCTCAGTCTCCACGCACGATTGTTTTGTACTTATTGATTGTGAACTGTGAGATATTCATGTGGGCAAAGTATAAATATTCGAGCCGTTTAACGGAATGTAGATTCGGTAGCGAAGTGGGAAGGTAGCATAATAACATTTTTGGTTTGCGCCTTATTTTGCGGACATAGGATTGTGAACTACAAGAGAAGCATGATATTATGCTTATAAATTCTATAGTCATTTACAGTAAAGCATTTTCTACGAAGAAGTAAATAATCAGAATCGTTTTGAATATTTTATCATCTTGCATAACACAATTATTTAATTGAAATTATTTGATTTGTGAATAATACTTGGATTGCATCTTAATACTGTTTCTTTTATCGTAGTTGAATAAATAAAAAGGTTTATTCTACGAAATCATAGAAATCACAAGTTTGTCGTCAGATCTCCACATTCGTTCAATCTTCAGAATGAACATTATGAGTATTTTGGCTTTATGTCTAGCAACATACGTTGGAGAAGCTGCATCCCATGCAAGTGATAGCGAATGCAGGCTGCCCGTTACAAACGAAATCGATTTTGCAAAGGTAATTTTATACACGTTTATTTTTTATGTGAGGAGAATAACCGGTTCCTAGTTTTTCAAATGGTTTAACACAGGCAATATTTGTTTTCAAAGTAATATTATAGGTTTTGTTGAATTATCTGAGAAGAGTAGAATAAGAAAAACGAAATACACATACAGTGTATTGATATACATTCTTGCTGAGACCTATTCGCAGAGACAAATTCAATTGAAAGAAACAATCCTACTTTGAAATTTTCCTTAAACAAAGATTTCTTCGTGAATATCCAATGCAAATGAATTACTTATATCACATATATGAAACTATTGGCATATACTTTGATACATTATTTATATTTCCAGCTCCGAGAAAAGAACTGGTACATTACGTCGCATAATGAATATAGCTTGCTCAGAACGGATGTCTGTGTTGTTATTTCTGATGTAGAAGAAACGAACGGAGGATTGGATTTTCAATATAAAATGTTCAAGTAAGATAATATAATATTTATTTTACCCAAAGTAGTAAATTACCAAATAAACGACTCAACAACCAAGTATAAACTTAAGTTTGCCTAATTGTTGGCTTTGATTGTGTATTAGGAAGTTTCGGTGATGCACCTTTATTTCTACCTCGCCACGAAATTCGCCGCTTGTAGGAAACAGAAATTAGTCTCAATTGTAATATCCAGAAAATAGTAAACATGTTTGTGATGTGTGACTCTGTTCAACAGAAGGGTAGTAATACACACGAAGTTAAATCCGAATGTACACGGAGAAAAGTGAGGGTTAACGGGTGTACGACAGAAGTACGGTTTTCTAAAGAAACAAACAGTATTTACAACACGCAACGTGCCGGCAAGAAACAAGTAAACAATTAAAATTAATAACTTAGAAAATTTGAACTGAATTCAAATGATCACACATAGTTCTAACCCAGTAAAATAACAGTTACGGCTGATTACAAAACAGGCATTCACAAAACACTCTACAGCCGAAAAACTCCCTAAATATAAAAACAATAAACTGAAATACGTACCTAACAGTGTAGATTCCAGCTTACAAAACAACGTACGACAGTTGATTAGAATAAGGTTATTGGTATAAGTTCTAAATCTACGGAAAAGACAATTTAAACTTTGCACCACAAATCTGCAATCCCAGAATCCCGAGAACTTCAAGATCTTCGAAGCGCCACGCTTTGCGAAAGCGCGCGAGGTTACTATAAAGTCACAATCAGGTAAAAGTATGTACACCAGCGCCTCCAATGGTGAAAAGACACAAATATATTATTAAAGCGGAAGAGGCAGTTTCAGGGATAAACAAATTAAATTGTCTCCATACTCATAATTTAAATGTGATTGATAGAGTTTTCCTTTTAAAAAAATACGAATTTGTAGGTTTTTATGTCAAAACTTCATACTTTTGATCTTACAAATTACTCTATTTTCTATCATAGCAATTCTGGAGTTGTGGATCATATCACAATACATACCACGCTTCAACCATCAGGAAAATACACCTGGAAACCAACATCTGGTAAGACAACTCGATAATAAATGTAAAAAAATATGTTGCTTATTTTTCTTCAAACAACAGAGCAACCCTCAAATATATGGACACGCAATTCCCCGAATATGCGGTAACTTAAAAGTACCTGTTTCGGGGTACCGTGACGATACAGTGACTGTCATAGCTTTTTTAGGTCCTGCGACGATGATCAATTCTTCATAATTCAATTTCAACATCAACTGAAATATCACGTTATCCGAGTAACTTCTGTATTACCAGATCAGTTACCGCAGTCAACCATTTTCCATATAAAACATCTCAAAATCATATGCGTTAACTTACCAGCACCCGAATCGGCGTACAAATATTGGTACAAGGTTTGTCATAGCTTTTCCCTGTCCCGTGGCAATGATCTTTTCTTTTCCATTCAATTTCAACGTGAATTGAAATACCAAGTGATACGAGTCACTTCTCCATTAGCAGGGCAAAATAAAATATAAATTCCCCGAAAATCATTTGCGGTACGGTAACTTATGACTACCACTACCGGTACCTTCAAAAAAATTTCTAAATCCTCGTAGCAAGAATTTGCAGAATCAAAACGGACAACCAGTCATAACGCGGACTAAAAACCGTGTTCCCATGAATAAAAATAATACAGCGAAATTTTGGATAAAATATCCGATCTCATAGAATCCATACGAAATTTAGAAAAAATAAAAGTAATAGTCTTTTAGAAAGAAGTTCCATCTTTAACAACTGAAAATTTCAAAGCAATTGGCCCAGTAGTCAAACAAAGAACTTTTTTATAACAATGTCAAAGAACAACAAAAAAACTAAAATAGCCAAACGATTCATAGGTCCACTACGTGTCCAAAAATAAACAGTTTGCAACCTAAAAACGTGGTGCAGACAAGTTCTGCCCTATACTCAACGTAAAGCCTATTAAAAACCTAACTAATTTCCTGGGTTGCTAATAATTTAGACTTCATTACTTGACTTCGGAATAATTTTATTTTAGAGTAAAAAACGAAAGTTACTTTAGTGAGAACGGCAATTTATATTTCCGACTCAAAACGTGATGAAATTTTAAATTCCCACCTCTGGTCTGTGCTAAGAGAGGTTCTAAATTTAGACTTCTGAGTTTGTTGAATTTGACCGCGACAAACTCAAGACTTGACTTAGGCAGGCCCAGGTAACCTTTGCTATCCAATACAGTAAAACATTTGTTTGTGGTGTTAATTTTAACGAGATTTTATTTGTTTCTATTTGAAAAACCTCTAACATATGTGAAAAATAGAATTGAAAGGTTTTGGATTTGTACATACCACAGAAACTGGACCAGACTCATTTTCACCTACGGATGCCGGGAATGAGATGGAAAAAGAAAGGGATCACTTGAGTAATTTATAAATTATTTTCAGTTTTTAAAGTCTAGGTCGTGAATTTTGGATAAACCTACATGTAGTATATATTTGGATCACAGATCTGACAATGGTTGAGGTAATGAAATCGGGATCTAGTTGTTCACTTTCACAGTAAATTATGTAAATATTGTATTCTTGGTATTCATGTTAGTAGGTTAATGTCATAGGTAGAGGTAGAAAACAAACTAGGACAAGGTTTGCTCACAGAATGAAATATACCGCTGAAAATCGCAAATTCTTTTTAGGGTGGATTTCCGACTACAAGAAACCGCATGCCTATCTGACTGATTACAAAACATACTTGTTTGAACTGAAGTGCGATACCAAAGGTAAGATTATGTCTTATAAGGCAACAGCAATAAAAACTAAAAAGATGATTCGACAGTGAGCTGATTGAAGGGGGAGTAGGTGAATAACAGGTCTTTAGGTCAATGTTTAACAGTTTTGATTCCTGATCTCATACAGGTAAACAGAGCGTTTGGATTCATACTTCAACTCAATATCCTACGACTGATGACATTATTCGAATTCATAACCGTTTGTTGGATATCGGATTTAGATGGGATGATATTTATTTAGTGGTTTCGTCTTGCGCTGTAATGAAGCCGAGTAACTTCAACTCAAAATAGAACTACGAAAGAATTTTATATATATATTATATAGGTGGAATATATATTCTGCGCACATCTAAATACATTTATATATATATGTATATATGTACGCAACTATCAGTGTCATTGTGAAAGCATTAATAAATTTAACCAAGATATTTTTTCTGGCCTTATTACCGCGAAATATCAAGTGGCAAACGTAAGATCGGGGCCTCATCATCACTCCAACTGCATCCCGAAAAGTACAGTGAAGTGATAGATGCATATGCATTTACTCGTGAATCATATCTTGAGTCGGTATAGCATAATATTTCACGGTATCGCGAAATTTTTATTCAATATATTTATGAAGAAAAGGCAGTATAAAGTTTAGTGTCAGTTAAAGAAACATCAATCTGATGCCATGGTTTTGCGTAATTCAATACTGTGTTGTAGTCTTAAACAAATTTTTGATCCCAACTTAAACAAGGTATGCTCAAAAACTTTCGATTTTGATTTTAATGAAGGGATTACATTTTGTTCAAATTTGTGAATTGTGATGTTGATAATTCTTTTTATCAATATGCATTGAAAAGTAAGATTTTCACTCTTAAATCTGATTACAGCTCGAGTCCAGATAGTATAGTACCATAGAACATTCGTTTTATTCTCATTCATTATTGCTAGGGATTTTGTACATATGTATGTGCAAACAATACCACTTGAAATTATATGTGTTCTTGACATATGTCACAAAAATAAATTGACGTATTCAATAGCGCACTTTAGCATACATTGAACACATTGAACGTTGTTGATGTTATTTTAATGTTGTAGACACAGAATACAGAAGATGGTTAAGACATGACGACATCGAGAAACGGGACGACATAGAGAAACGATTCGACTCCTAATACAAATCCTTTTAATACCTCCCCTTTAAATATCCAATTGAAACCTTATATATACGTATGCGCGTATGGTGATATCGATTCCATGAGGGTTATCGATTCGGGTTGGAATACTAATTAACATCTGGTGTCATCGATCCAATTATATTTCTGGTTGGCATCTGTTGTGTAATTACAACGGGCCCTATATCGATCCAATTCATGAATTTGGAGAAATTAGCAATTTTCAGTCTTTTTAATGAGTTTTACCTGAAATAACGAATTTATCCCTAAATATATCTACGCCGTTTAGATCGGAGATCGGGGTTTCGGGCATATTTGTCACCTAACGTTTATACGTAAATTTAAAAAACATTGAAAATGACAAAAAACACAATACTGAATTTCAAAATATGAGACGAGAAGATTTAAGAATGAGAGGGAAGTAGGATGAGATTGAAAAGGCGATTTATTGTTTTATAAATTTGATTGCGACAGATAAAACTGATCTTTCAATCCAATATACTTCGTCACACTGAATTACTGATTGCTCATATTTTTGAATAACCCTAGTTGGGTGAAAATAGCGCGCTGTAAGTTCGCTTGTTGCGATATGTTGAGAATGCCAGCTTCGGGCTTTGAAAAAAAATAAATAAAAAATAGCGCTTTGTTCGTTAAAAAAATTTGTCATATACTCGTTTTTTGACGAATATATTGATGAGCTCATTTATGCACCGTTCTTATGACGATGGTATAAACGCTTAAAAGAGTGACTCGTTTGAATCATCTTTTAAATATAGTTCAGGGTTAATGAAATCTATCTAATCGAAATAGTTTGCATCCGTCAATGTTTAATTATTATAAGTCGCAAGAATTCAACTCTGAATATTCACCTCTATTGCATAATCAATTGGCCATAAGATTAGTTGCAATTTGAGTAAACACTCAAGTCTCTTTTCAAGCAATTCATAGAAATTAAGATCCGAATTAATATCGCCAAAGAAGTTAAAGAAGGACTATACATTGAGAAAGGAAGTAGTACGATAAATGTCCCAGTAAGAAAAAAATTGTATTTATATACAACAAAGTAAAACAAATTGATGAATAATATTTTTATTCGATTGTCTTGCTCGATCATTTTTTTTGCTGTAATCTTTATGAATATCTAAAAGCGTGCGCTTCCTTCGTACTTTTATAAAACTTATCGTTCGTTGTATTATATCATCAGTTAAATTTAGCCTGATACGATTTTTCACCTTGTATTTTTGATTTCGAACAGAAGTTCATATCGTTCATTGTGTGGAGTTGGGTTTATCCGTCGTCTGATCCTTTTCCGATTCCGTGCCACTGTGTTCTGTAATGCTTCCATATTCGTCCCAGCAGTGCCATCGTTTGTGTTGTTGTCGGTATTTTACTTCTTCGATATGTGCTGTTGTTGTTTTGTTGGGTCACCTTTAGCGATTTCGACTCCACATCAGAAGTCTTGCAATTCTTTGCTCGGGATCACCATTTTAGCATACATTGAACACATTGAACGTTGTTGATGTTATTTTAATGTTGTAGACACAGAATACAGAAGATGGTTAAGACATGACGACATCGAGAAACGGGACGACATAGAGAGACGATTCGACTCCTAATACAAGACATTTTAATACCTCCCCTTTAAATATCCATTTGAAACCTTATATATACGTATGTGCGTATGGTGATATCGATTCCATTAGGGTTATCGATTCGGGTTGGAATACTAATTAGCATCTGGTGTCATCGATCCAATTATATTTCTGGTTGGCACCTGTTGTGTAACTACAACGGGCCCTATATCGATCCAATTCATGAATTTGGAGAAATTAGCAATTTCCAGTCTTTTTAATGAATTTTACCTGAAATAACGAATTTATCCCTAAAGCACTTCCGTTCGTGACAGGTAGATCTTGTTGCGTCTAAGAACTCAGATTCTTTGATTATCAAATTTGAATTTGCGTAGAATGGAATTCACTTCTCGTGTTCCGTTTGATAAAATGGTTCACTGGATTTCTTATCGTTTATTTTAAATATTTGACATTTCTAGCAATATATTTAGCAAATATTGTTTAAAAGAAAAACGCAACATTATTTGAAAAAAAAAATGTATAAGCAAAATATGATATAATATAGAATAACCTGTTTGAATATCCACCCGATTTATCTGCTTCTTCCTCTGGTTCGGTAATAGTCGTCATAAGGGATTCTGAATATATTCCACTCAAGCAAACTATAATTGACTTTTTCTCAATCGAATTTCAACACACTCAGCAATGTCAAAATACAGTCGTATGGAGTCGCATATCCGCTATTCCCTGCATGCGAGTATAATTCTATCCCAGTCAATGATTGTCAATCGACCAGAGTCGGCATTTTTAGTTTTCCCCGATCTGATTTTGACGCCAGTTAGTATTTTGGAATGACTTATCCATGCCCTGTATCACTGCTTCACTAGACTCTATAAGAATATATCTGCTTCCATGAAGACATTCTAGTTTACGTTCCCATTTCAACTCGATATTCATATTAAATATTAATTCGAAAATTTTACTGAAACTTTAGCCGTTTCAAGCTGAGAAAACCTTGGTTCAAAAGAGAAGGATTTGATTTTAATTTATTTGCTTCAATTATTGAACTTTATCCGAAATTGGGGCTGGGAATTTTAGGTAAAACCCTTTAACCGTTACCCGGGTAAAATTAACCGGTCAACCGCAACGTGACGTTTGACGTAATATTTTATAATTTTTGTTTATTGCGTCATAATGGGTACAAAGCAATTTGCGTGATATTATCCCGGACCCGGTATCTTTTAAAATTATTCACGAATCGAGATAGTTTCGTGATCGCTCTGCTGCATGAGATATGCAGCGTTCTTCGGATATGGAAGTATTTTAGTTAAACCCGATACCGTTATTAAATGTCATTTATGTGAAAAATTTTAGTGCTTGATGTGCAAATTCTACTTTGAGATATATACCATATATATGGAAAAACAGCATCGACGGCGCACATTGAATGGACAATTTTGAAAGAAAATCGTGAACAATATATTTTTACTGAAAAACTGATTCTGAATTCATCATTGTCAAATTTTCATAATCAGCAAACTTGGTACTTCAAATATTTTTCACATTTATTGGGTCCTTAGCAATACAGTTGGGGGTATATTTTCGAATTAAACGGCACATGAGATAAATTTTCGATAACGTAATCATTTTTGAAGAAACGTACATTATAGAGATGATTTGTAGCCTACCTGAAATGTCAGTTAACGGCTAAAATAAATCGTAACCGTTAACCATCTGAAATCGGTTAACCGATTAATTAACCATCCCCAGCCCTACCCAACATTCCCGCCGTGTCCCAAGATTTGTTGTTTGGCTACGAGGCAAACTAGCTGCAGATAAGAGGGTTTGATATAAAGATCAACCTTCGGCTTCCTCTATCGACAAGTCCAGTGACTGAAACCAATAACTGGTTAACTATCTCTCTGCTCGACCAGGCGATATTCGCGTTTCACCAATCTCATCGGCTTCCTCAGCTCCGGGCTTAATGTGAAAATCCTATCTTAACCTAAGACCTGAGCTACTTTTATCGTTCTTTATATTATATCACTAAACAATTTAGATACCTTATCCGTGAGGTAAAAAAAAATATAGCGATAAACTGATTTTATTCATGTATAATATTTATTTTGTTGTTAATTTTGAAAAAAAGTAAGTTATATTTCTTTGGAACATCCACATTTTTTGATTAGTGTTATGTGATTTATTAATATAAAATATTGGATAAATGAGAGCAAGCAAAATTTAAAAATAAAATGTACAAAACTAAAAAAAATTAATTCGGCAGAAAACAACCCATATCATTAGAATAAAGTAGTTTTCCAGCCCGTTTCTCAGTCGATTTTCTTTTCCAAATATTTCAAATTTTCACCATCATGTTTCATATGTTCAGCAATGACGCAATTCATGACGTCACAATCACACTTCGAATTATACAATTTATAATATATAGTACAAACAAATTCATTTAATCATGAACCTCCCGAAAAAAACAGAATTTAAAAAAAATGTAAGTTGTTTGGTTACACTGAAAAAACGATATTTAATATGTTAGGCCAATCATAAACTATACACATTTTTATCAACTCAAAAGTATGCCGTCATATTTTTTTTTATAATTTTTCGAGCTATCTTTGAGCTGAATTTTGACATTACTTTTCTATTAAAAAACTAATTTTGGCCACATATTTTGTAGTTATTCAAACTTATTAGTATAAAGATAGAGTAGATAAGTTGAAGACACACGAGATAGGTATTGTTAATCTTAGTTGTGCATAAAATACTGATAGTTAATTTGCATACAAGCAAGACAAAATATGATTGGTTGATTGAAGAACGAAAATAATGGAAACAATTTTGAATCTTTTGACTCTTGAACAACTATGCATTACTATATAGATGTAGTTTAAATGCAGGAATATTCTACAAAATGAATATTTTTTAATAAAAAAACAGCAAAATGGTTTGAACATTCTGTCTAATTATTGAATAGTGGGAGATGTGAACCGTTTTATCATGTGCATTTTGAAAACACGGGCAAGTAAATTTTTCAATTTGGGATTACCTAAATTTCTATTCAATATTATTGACTTAGTTACAGCATATTATGTATTTTGGCAGGTTCATTCATATTGGGAGTATCTGCCATTACGATATATAAGATAATTCCATATTTCTCTAGAATTTAATTTTCACGAGAAGGCAAATAGTTAGCATATTTCATATTAAAGTTGTTGGAGTGAATTTATAAAAAAATTTCTGTCTGAAATTTTGTAGATTAGTATTAAAGCTTCTTTCAAACCGCCATTCTTCTCCTTGTTACGCCTGAAAAAAAATATCAATGTCAAGTATGGTAGAATACTTAATATATTTTGTTTAAATTGAGCCATAAAAAACTAAAATCCCTAGCCTCCTAAACGGTTGCAAGAGAATTATAAGTACACACAGGAGAGGTGACGATTGTAATAAAATAGTTTCAAAACAAATTGAGTGCTAAAATGAAGATTACACCGGAAGAAAAAAATATATATAACGCACGTCTTAATACAAATTGATTTTATAGCTACGATCAAAGTTTGCGATGTAGGAAATTTTCCAAAAATAGGCGTTTTTAATAAGATACTTACAACTGCTGGTTCAGTGTATTGTGTCTGGGGCTCTGCTGCTGGATCCACCTGATATTTTTGTTGACTCTTTGTACTTTCAAACGTCGGATTTTGTTGTCCACTTCTCGATACTCTATGTTTTCCAGTACGAGCTCGTCTGGTACAAAAATTGTAAGTTAAAAAGTTAAACACTATCAATATGAATAAGACTTGAGAAGGCACTCATTTACAAAAAAATACAATCTTTAGATCACTTTAACATGCGATACCAAGATCCCTGGCACAGAGGTTCTTAAGCTTTTAAAGATTCTTGCACTGTGGTCACGGGGACACCCCTGACTGAGCAACCCCTTTAGTAGCGAAGTCTCAATGAGAAAAATGAAAATGTATTCAAACAAATAAAATTCAAAAAGCCAGTTCAACGCAAATAACCTCCATGATTCGTGAAGAAATGGTTGGGATCAATCCATCTATGGTGTGCTAAGATGGACTGTCTAATATTACGTTATGATACAATGATAATGCTATTAATATCAAATATGTTTACCTTCTCTTCATACAATATACAATTAGAAGAATGATGAGAATGAGTAATAAGATTGAGCAAATCACAATCGCAGCTATTTCGCCTGGAGTCAGTCCACGTGCTAAAAGGAGAAGGAATAAAACATTCATTGATATTTCATTTTATACCTAGCATAATATTAAATTTGCATTCCATTTTTTAAACGACATGTTATATCAAAAGTTAACCAAATTTTATTCTATCGCTTTGCAATAGCCAAATTTCAAAATGAGAATTGAATTTATAAACCGTGCATGTATAATTGTAAACTTCCTTTTGTAGTGTGCCGTATAGAAAATACGAAAATGTGAGGCTGATCTGGAAAGTCTCTTCATAGTAAGATTAGATATTGTTAGCTATTGCACAACCTCTATATGTGCTACGACCGCATACGGCCACATCATTTTTATGTTGTAAACTTTACCCCACAGCCCCCAGGGTTAAATCCCCTTTCAGTATAAAATCCGTGGCTCGTATAATATGCCGATGTTTCAGATATAAAGTTTTCAGATCAAGTTTATATAGCAGACTTGTTGTTCAGCTACAAACGTTTGAAGACAAAGAAAATACAAGTTCTCATCCATGCCTGACAAGTTCATATAGTCCACAGTCAAAATACATATGATTCACACACTCCCCCTCAAAATTGACAATAGTGCAACTTAAGCAATTGCTCATAATACACAGTGTATTTTACTTACATGGAGGCTCAGGATCAGTTTTCACAACTGCACTTGGTTTAGTACAAACTGAATTGTTTTCTTCATTTGCACCACACACTTGTATAGTGTAAGATGTATCTGGTTTCAATCGGCCATTACATTCTGAATTTGTACCCGTTTGGCAAGTATTGTCGGCACCTTTATGCAAGAAAGTATATATAAAGTTGGGTATGTATCAAAGTATGGGTATAAATCGAAATATTCGGTAAAAAAGTTTAAGTGCATCACTGCATTCGCGGTGACAAAAAAAGTTCCCGAAAAAACTGAAATAGAATATGCTAGAATTATCTGTCAATAATTTTTCACCGCAGCTGCCTGAGTATTTTAAAATGAGTTAAGCCTTTGAAATAGTATATTCATTTACACGCTATCACTAAAACACTTTTAAAATAAACATAAAAAATTTAGCATTGGCCAAGTATATGAAGAAATTTTATGGGATCAAGGGCCAAGGTAACATCCACCACTGAAAACATTATATTCTTTTGTAAAATCATCAGTTTCAATAATGAACTTACCAATAACTACACCATTGTTCACAACAGCTCGCTTTTTTCGATTACTGGTTTCGCAATCAACGGTCAAAGTAACATAAGGAGAAGAAACATCTTGTTGGGAAGATGTTGCCCAAAATCTTGATAAATCAACGCTGACTGAAATATTAATGATCAATATTAGTCTTTCACCATGTTGTATATAGTAATCCATGATTTTTTTTTTCATTTCAAAGACAAATGTAACAACAGACTTTAGTGACAGTGTTGTTGCAGAGATGAAAATCGCCATTCTAAAACCATTACTGATTGCAAGTTGCTTCTAGAGGGTCATAGCAAGCAAAATTTCCTCAGACCGATTTTGGCGTTGGTTTCAACTATTTTGGTATTGCAGATTGAACTGATTATCACAAGCAAATGCACACTAATTTACCCAGAGTGCAAAAATGGGAAAAATCTGGTTATTTCAATGAACTCTTATGTAAATAGTGTAGTAAAAGGAATACAAATAAATACATTTATATTTAGGAATATCATTTGAGTGATTATCCTTCCATTTACCTGTTGATCCACTTTGAGTAACTATATAAATCATTTTTGTGATTACACCTGTATCTTCATTGAATACAACAGACTTTTCTCCACAAACGTTGTTAACTGTGACAGTATAATAGGGAGGGTACGTCTCTGTATCGCTCGTATTTGTAAAAGATGTTGTGTAGTCTGGATCTCTGAGAGTAGGAGCTTGAAAGTGTAAAAAAGTACAATGTGTGAGTACATATATTTCATGATGTATTTGGCAGATTCCACATTTGAATGTTTGATATGACATGACAAGGAGTGCTTACATTTCAAAGTTTATAATGGTGTAAATATAAACATTTTGCGTTTTCTGGCACCGTTAACTCAAAATCACTGACTGATTTATATAAATATCATATTGTTCAGACAGTTTTGATTTTATTATCAAATGCAAAAACAACAGGGGTCTTAACATCTACAATGGCATTCGGCTTGAAATCAGTTATATTGGCATTGCATTTACATTTTTCACACTAACAAAAATGTGTTGGAACATTTTATGACCCAGAAAATAAACATTGTAATAAAACGTTATTAAAAAAAAAACTTACTTCCTGCCCTTGTCTGCTGTGATAAAACTGTTCCTAAACTTGTTCCAGCTGCGGATACAGCGAATGCAGTTATGCTGCGAATATAGAGGAGTAATAAATTATCGGATGGTGGTGTGGACAAAAATACAAGCAATGGCGGGTATAGGTGAATAGTCGGTATAAAATTTTATTGTGAGGTTAAAGAATTACAATTGCAGAAAATCAAACAGTTGCATTGACAAATATCTTCTATATGAAGAGCAGCAAATTCAGTTGTAAATGAAACAACAACATTATTATGCGAAGGGAGAATTGTAAACCGTTTGACAAGCTGAAATACAGAGTGACAATAAAACTCGGGTCATACGGTCATATTCTGGAGACAACATAACTTTTGTGTAAAGTACGCAAAGACTAGCGAAACGTTTGGGTACAATCATACACAGAAGTTCAAGTGAACACAAGTTCAAGTGTTAATCAAATTGTCCTCGTTTTTTAGAAGCAATTAAGAAATTTATGGGTTCTGTTTTTAATTAACCCTGTATATAAAAATGCATCTGTCAAAATATGACAAAAATGATTTCCACATTGGCATATCCTTAATTTGCACATCCATAAAATCAAGTTTTAAATATGAATACACTAGTAACAAGTGTAACAAACTTAGTTATAGCTTTATAAATTCATTCTTAAAATTTAACATACTTGTATGTTGTATATGATGTGAGTTCACTCAGAACCACAGTTGTGTCAGTCGACGTTGCAGTCTGAGCAGTGCAGTTGGGACAATTAGCCTGAAATACATAAACATATATTAATAATATTTAAAATCGGAGATAAGGCTGTGATTTTGTAACTCTGATATCAACTTCAAATGTTTAAAAACAAAAAATACCAAGATAATTTATGGTGTAAAATTTATGCTTTTAAAGTTAATAAACACTGACATCAGATAATATTTTATTGCATTAATACCAGATACAGATGCATTAGGAACTTACAATGCACGAAGCTTATATGGTATATATATAACATTTATTGTAAGAAATAGTCTGATTACCGGTATATATGAAACTAAGTAAGATGTTGCTCCATCAACAGCTTGTATTGTCAGTGTAAGCTGAACATTACTATCACGTGCCACGGTGAATGACGGAGTTGCAGGTGCTGTAAGACAAATATATCACCTCTAAAATTCCGTTATGTTATATCTTATCTACCAGATTATTTTATTCAATTGTCTATTGAGATTATTTTAGTAGTTTTAGTGATTCCATGCAACTATAATTTTAGCTAGAAATGAAAATTCTGATTACTATAATTTTCCAGAGTTCAAATTGCCCTGCCAGTGTTACCTTGTAGTACCATTTAAACCAGTTTATACTGATAAACCAACAGCAAAAAAATACACAAATACCTGAGGTATTCAGTGTCAATCATTTGTTAAGAGTATTCATCTTGTATGTATTTCTTGTTTGTATGCATATCATTATATTTGTTCAAAGCAAATATGTGAAACAGTTTGTATAAATCATAAAAAATGTTCACGTAAATTTCATACTTGATGTAACGGTTGTTCCTGATGGTGAAGCAGATGTCCCTCCCCCTTGTACGCTTGCAGTAATAGCAACAGTATAAACAGTATTGTCTTGAACTCCTGGAATCGTTACAGATGATGATGAAGATGTAGATGCTGGAACCTAAAATAACAATTCCGACGTAATGTTTCCGCATTTATCGAATGTAGATATGATATATCAGTGGTTCCCGATCGGGCCACGTAAAGAAGTTAGTGTCTCGCCACAATGCCAGGCGAAAAACTGATTTTCCTTTTCCTTTCAGAAAACCCGTTCTTTCTAGGTTCATTGCTCGATAAAGTTATTTTACGGAGTGTTTTCACTTTGTTGAGCATTAACATAGTGGGATTCGGAATTTATCAATCAAAATAACACTATAAATAATACTGGTATCATAAACAGGGGGCCCATGAGTAATAAATAATCCGGAAGTGATCCACGGGCCATAAAGCTTGACAGAATGCTTTAAACCGGAAATACCAGCATATTTTATATTACTTTGCAGATAGCATTCAAATCTGTTTTCCTCATTATTTGTAAACACTCCTATTCGTCGTAATTGTATATATATAGAAAAGTCTAACTCCCAAAATATTATAATTGTAAGTCTTTAATTTCCATTCGAAATTTCGACTAAACTGCCAACTTTAAATTGGTATATATATATATATATCATTTTGTATCTGAAAAAACGCATAACATTGTTTTGCGGAAATAACATTATATTAAATCATATTCGTATATTATTTATATGCGCGTACTAACCGTCCCAGTCAAAGTTGTTCCATCTGGCGCTGTCAAAACTACTTCATAAGATGTAGGTCCAGTAATCGGGGTGCCGGCATTAAACGCTACATTAATTTCTCCCGGTACAGATACAGTTACTACATTGGTAACCGTGTTTGGAGCTGTGAACAGAATTGTAAAATTAAAACCGTAATGTTATCGACACTTAAAAAATATATAATTGAATATTAACTTGTCACATTTTTATTTAGGATACTTACGTCCAACTGCTGTAGAGAAGGTAAAATTCGAGGTTGATTCACCTTTCCCACCGCGAGATTCAGCGACCACGGAGATGACGTATTTTCTATGTTAAAATAAGAAATGATGAATATTATTATATTAAGAATAAGGCTACAATATTTACACATGACTATCTTGGGTAAGGCATTAGCTCAAAGAGCTTAATCATTTGTTGTCACACTGTGATTTTTGCCATTTGAAAATCAGTCATCAACATCAACCTATGCTGTTTAATTTTATGTTATTTTGAATATTACAACATGGAATATATTAGATTTTTTGTAAAAATTTCAAAACTTTACCTGTATGCTTGGAGGCCAGTTATTGTGTATCTGTTGTCAGGTCTAACTGTGAATGTTTGCTGGTCGTTCTCATGACAACTTGCGTCATTAAATGAATTGCAGTCATCGATATCTTGACTATGTTGATAAAAAAATATAAAATATGTTTCACAAAGTGATATATGTATATAGAGGGGAGTTATCAATACAGCAACCTGATAAATATGATGTCATACCAACAATATGTGATGCCAGTTTTTTTTAGTGTGGGTAGCAGGGACCTTGGAATTAGGAAGAAAAGTTGTAGTCGTATTGTATTACCCTGGGTTGAACTTGAAGAAGAAATTGGTAAAGATTTGAGTAGGAAATCAAAGTCATTATTTCCGAGTCAGAAACTTAACCGTTTTCATTATTGCTAACAAGATTCAAAATATACAATCATCTTAAAGGATATTTCTAAGTCGTGAAATGGAAAAACTTTCCTCTGCCTAATAAAATTAATAATATGTTACCTCACTGTTATAGTATAATTTGTGACAGCAATTAGAGTATTGTTTGGTGGCGTGATGACTGCGACTACTGTTGAACTGGTGATATCACTTATTGCAACGTCTTGAGGCACTTCAGGGACTGGATAGAAATTAAAAATGAATTTAATGGTAAACTCGTAATTTAGCCATACATGAGGTTTATTTTAATAGAAAAGAATTTGTAATTCTATATAATCTAATAAATTAAAACACGAAGACTCACCTAATTTTGGTGTGGTAACTGTGACTTGGTCTACTGGACCTTCACCAGCACTTGTGAATGCCGTCACACTAATGACATAATCAGTAAGAGACTGTATTGCTGGGAATGTAAATGTGGTCACGGTTGTGTCACTTCCATCAGACTCAGATCCGGGAGTCCATTTCACACTGAATAAAATAGAAAGTTTTATTATACGGAGTTTGCAGACCGTGTTCTCACTCAGAGTGTATTTAAATAAGGTTGGTAATGCCGGACTAACAAAGAATTCTGTCATCCTGTCAAAAATAGTATTTTCTTATTTTGAAGTGGTTGTGCGACGAAACCTGGTTTTGAAGGGAAGGCATTTGAAATGCAGTATGAAGAAGAAGATGAATGTATTCCAAGGTAGAATAGCTTTGTAAGATATACTGTTCGGTATTGCAATGAGCAGTACATATTTCATAGATGAAATGTATCATCATACAATGACAATTGCACCAAAGTCAAATACTGGTTAATGTCAATGATCAATATGCTGGTGGATGGAAGTTTCTCATAGCATTGCAGAAAACCTGTGTACAATTAAAAGCTCAAATAGATTATTTTAGTTTTCTTACTTGTATTTTGTGACATCTCCATTAGTAGGTTGTGGTATTTCCCATGTTACTGTTATCATATAAGTTGAAGTTTCAAAAGCAGCTGCCAAATTTCTAACAGCAGTTGGTTTGTCTTCTGCAGTTCGGATAACTAATGCATCAGTTGCTGCAGCGCTACCGGCGTTTGTTCTTGCTACCACCTGCAAATTTTAGTAACCACCGAATGACTTTTGTCTTTGAAAAGATTGCACGCAACCTGATTACCAAGTGAAACGCCTGAGTAATGACTGCCGTCAATATTCATGTTTGTGTTTGTGACTCGTTTTCTTTCGGCTTTGATAAGTGAACGCGTTTAATACGTTTTAAACCTATTTTATTAGGTTTTGTTCACTTTCCAGATTCTTCGCCTTAATCTTTTGTGTATATGTGTTTATTTTGTTTTTGCGAATGAATCGAAATAAAATCTTATCTTATCTTATGATTGAGGTATTTATTTGTCATTTAAATAGGTTTGGATGATTTTTTCGAATTTTATCTTTCAGCTAAAGAGAGTAACAATCTACAGAAATATTACCCCCAGTCGCTGAGCATAATAATATATTCACCCCGGGGAAGAAAAAAAGCCAATAAAACAGTTTAATAATGGGGTAACCAACAGTTCATATTAGATGTATGATTAGCTAGGCAGTTATTTGTTTCAGGTGCATGGGATTGATGGTGGACGAAGTCGTAACCGGCCAGCAGTCACATAAACCATCCTAAGGCGGATTTTTGAAAGAAGAACAATAAAAATAAATGTTTTTTTTTCATCTTATGCCTTACGTCGATGGTTCATATGAAAATAATACCGTTATGGTGTATTCTGTGTTCGGTGTCAATCCAGTAAGAGTCAATGATGATGTTGCTAAATCTACAGATTTAGACGTGGTGCCATCTGTGTATGTGACTTCATATGTTGTTTGTCCAACAGCTGGGGTTTGAACAGGCCATGATATTTCAATACTGGTTGGAGTAACAGCACCTCGTGTCACCGGATTTGGTACATTCGGAACTAAAAAATATTATCATAAAATTATTGAAACTATGTTGTTTCTATCTCTAACTCCTAAAACAGGCTTACAAATGTACCTTCTTCTTTGGTAAGAATAGTGATAGATGTTTCTTGACCAGCACCGGCACTGTTTATTGCTTGAATCTGCAATTGATATGATGTAAATGGAGGAAGTCCAGACAGCACAAAACTACGAACTTCTGCACCGAATGTCTGTTCTGTGACTGAAAATGAAAAAATAATATGAATATGATAATGAAGGTTTCAAAAATCTTGAAATACCACTACTGATCGCTGTACAGAATATCATTTGGGAAGAATTTTTGTGTACACAAGTTAGGCCAAAATACTTTCGCCAACAATGCATTTGATAGTTTTTTCGAAAGAACAAAGTCAAGCAATATGTAGCTTGTCCATTACTGTAGTATCAACCAGCTGAATGTTCATCTATCACATGGGTTGCAAAGTGTTACTAATGTAAGTGAACAGTACACGAGAATAACTAAACAGACAACTATTGAAAAAAATACATACATCCGGGTATTGTCGTCAAAGCTTTGACAATAAATCCTGTTAATTCTCCATTTTGTTCGAGAGCAGAAGGTGGCGTCCATGATACCATTGAAGTAGCTCTATCGTAAGTGAAGGACATAACAGCACCAGGAGCTAGTCAAAAAAGTTAAAAATATAGGAACAAAAGAAAGTGTGGAAGATATGTAAAGGTGGGAAATGAAGTTACAAACACGTAGGATTGCGGGGGATTCAGTATTTCAATCGAACAAAACTGACATAAATCATGAGGGATGTGGTAAGTTGGGTATCTGAGCTTGATGCAATAATTATAATAGAATGAAATAAATGGCACATTCAATTTTTGTCAAACTCTATATATTTTTTCTCTAGCTTGTTTATAGTCCTAAACGTACTATATTTTTACATGCACAAACTAACTTGAATTTGTGTTTAGTGCCAAATAGCGATTTACATATCTCACCAACTTCTGCTGTGTTTACATTTGTGATAACTCTAGTTTGATCTGGAGGTGTTCCTGTTGAAGCAGTAAATGTAAAATTGTAAATTAGTCCTTCTTCCAATCCTCCAAATGTGGTCTGTTTTATTGTTTCGTTTGTCACCATCATAGTTACGGGACCTGAAATATATTTGTGGAAATAGATATTGATAATGGAATCCATTAATTTTAAGACACTCCAGAAGTATGTGTATCAATATGGAGGTAACTAATTTTGTTTGTCTAACACAGACAGTCTCGAACTCGTAATAAAACCAAAATAAGAAAAATCGTACCTAATCAGGTACACATACTACGGGAGTACCAATTTCAATGCCTGATAAAACTTCCACTTCGTATTTTTTGCAAAAATTGCTGAAATGATATATTTTGAAACGCCAAAAATTGTAAAAAGTTTTGCTGGCTCAAATTTTAAATTAAAACGTTTGAAATCACAATTCAAACTCGTGGTAGTCTTATTACGCATCATGTGAATTAGACTACATTTTGACGAAAAATGGAGAAAATTTTAGTTCTGAACAACACATAGTCAATTGTTGATCGATTGTAACCTTTCGTAAATTAACAATAATCCACTTTTGCAATGCGACGGAGAAAGTATTTTTGCAGAAATATCAAATCTTAATAAGCAGAGACTCAGTTATACAACAACTCAAATAGTACGCTGAACAAAACCTAAGCTATTTTAAAGTAAGCATCAGTAGTGTAACAACAAAAAACGGCAATATGACAATCCCGGCGAGTTATAATCAACTCATCAAACGTTTTTTTACCGTGCATTGTTGACACAGCTGAAATAGTGACGGTGGTTGGTCCGACATAAGGTCCAGTGACCAGCTGCCATTCAACTCTCGCTGATGTGGTTGAAATCACAGTTGCACTTGCAAGGTCGAATGCATAAGGAGCTGCAGTAAATAAATACTGTTTATTAGATGATGTGGATTTTCAAAACAGGCTAAAAAAGAAGCCTTTAAAGTTTAGTGATGGAAACATGGAACCAATCATAATGATATAAAAATAGATAAATAAATTTTTGCCATGATTAACCATGCGATCGGACCGCTTATTAAAAAATGCGTTTTTACACAGAATTGCAAAATTTGATTATCCCACAAATAGAAAACAGACTTTAGACTCCAACACTATTTTATTTATTTGAAACGTAATTTATTTCCACTTACCTCCTGGTGATGTTCTTGCTGAAACAGCTGCAGCTGAAGTGGATCCTGCTCCTGTCATAGCTTTGACCACAACATCATAAGTTCTATAATCTCTTAATCCAGTTATAGTATAACCGGTGGTGGATTGCGCTGGAGATTCGGCACTAGTTGAAGTTTCTCCATAAGTAGCATGGTCCTATAATAAATCACAGATATATATTTACAGAAATAAATGACGCCTTTTTAATTAAAAAAAAAATTGTACAATTTCAATGCGATATAAAATGATTTTATGAAACGAGTTTGAAAATCAACTTATTTGAAAAGAAAAAAAAAGGGAAACACACACAAACACACTATCAATTTCAGAGCCTGAGTAAGTTTTATACAAGCTTTGACGAATCTGAGGTCAGACTGATCATTTCACTACCCCTAGGCCTAGAGAGAAGTGGAATGTTTTGAATCAAATTTGACAATATCAAAAATCTTGTAAACCACTGGGTGATCCAAGATTTATGTGGAAATTCTCGAAATCACAGCCCAAAATCGGACATAAAAATTGCAAAAAGTATACATAATAATATACTTACAGTTGATGTGTATGCCACAGTGTATGTGACAACACCATTAAGTTCAGCAGGAGGAGTCCAAGTTACCGCCAAAGATTTAACACCAGGAACCACATTGACATTTTGAGGTGCAGTTGGAACTGTAAAACAACGGAATTTTTTAATAAATGTCCCACATCCTGTGGGTATATGAAACATAGCGGAAAAAGGACTAATTCAATAAAAATCAGAGCAACTCGTACATTATTATTTAACCGGAAACTTCTGCTCCACTATATTTAAGAGATTTAAATTTATTCCAAAAAACTTCGTTTAAAAAAATTCAAATTTTATGATTTCGAGTGATTTTTAAGACAAAAATTTCAACCATACCATCTTCCAATGTTCTGCAAGTTATAGTTCCGGTAGAATAAACAGCATTGTCCCTCGAAGACGTTACTACTGTTATTGTAGCCGTGTATGACGTAAAAGGTGTCAGGCTGCTGTAGGAAGCAGTTGTGTCTCCCAAAACTTTACTTGTTGTTGAGCCATCAGTAAACACAATAGAAAATCCCTAAATTACCATCGTACATGTGTTACTTTTGGACTACAGACTACAATCTCCTGATACTGGATATCATTTCATAATTATGAACTAATTAAGCCCAAAACATATTCTGAAATTCGCTTTAAAGTTCAACAAAAAGACGAAATTATACGCTTTGTATTTTACGACTAGGTTATAATATGCTATTGATGAAGATTTTGTGGAAATCGATGTGATGCATTTATTCACTCTATTACACCAGTATTTGAAAAAAATGTAGAATTACCTTTCAGAATGAAATTATTTATTTATTTTTGCTGTGACAAAATCAAAAGCCATACGTCAAATTATAATATTTTTATGGTGTATTTTTTAGAACTACACTACTGTACTGAAAATCATTAATCTCGGTCTGGAGAATGAGTGAAATAGAGCGACCGAAAAGTAGGAATGTTTTTATCCGAATAATTTGCCATTTGCCAATTAATAAATTCTATCTTAATATTAATGGGGTTTTCAAAAAGCCCAAGGACTCAAATTAAATATTTCACTTACGCCGATAACTGTTTCGTCAATTGCCCATTGTGACTGAACACCAAAAGTGATTTCGGCAGATCTTTTATTCGGGTTGCAGGAAATTGTAGGTTTAACGTGAGCTGTAACAAAAAGGAGTTTCTTCGTATTTATTACTCAATAATTTCAACTAAAAAATAAATATATATCAAAAAAACAGGTTGAGTCAGTTCTGTGGGTCTGTAATATCTGTAATATATTTATTTACTAACACAGGCAAATGGAGATTACATATATCCAAAATAAAAATATAGTCAAGATAATTTAAAAGAATTCGGTGTCTGTTGATTTAAAGTGATACAGAAAATGTGAAAGATTTAGGAAATATACCGTAGCTCTATGTATCATATCACTAGTTCAAATTTGTATTACACTTCTGTGATATTTAAAATGTAGACTCACGTTGTTCACAACTTGGTCCTGTCCAATCTGTCGCAGTACAGTCACATGCATAAGTAAATTCTCCATCCGTACATACGCCCCCATGTAAACAGGGATTGGAATCACAATTATTGCCATCTGGGAAATAATGAGAAATGGTAATATCATATAATCGCTCATGGTCATCATAAGCTAATCCGAATCGCCAAATTGTGACGTTTTCAAGTATACGGACAAATTCATAATGAACAACAAACCTCTTTCTATTTCAACTTGGAATCCTACTTCTTTTCGTACTCGATCAGATATAAAACTTTGCCAAACAATATTCTGTGTTGAGTCACTGGTATTTCGAACTTGCGCGGGCCGTGGACCGCTGGCAACAGATCCGCTGAGAGTTAATGCTAAAATTCTAAAAAGAGTATTATTTTATTACACATATTCGACAGCAAAGACATGTTAAAAGGATAAAGTATACGTCAAAGAGGGAGAATTAGGTAGAGTGTAAAAACAGAACAAAAAAAGGGAAATTGGAAAAGTGAAAGAATCGGGACAAAAAAAGGAAAGCTGCAAAAAGTACAAGGCATAGAAATAAAATGAACGACGAAGGAGAACTCGAGCAGATAAAAGGGATGTTTTTTGAGAGTTTGAGTGAGAAAATTAGGACGATAATATAAAATTGTAGAAAAAATATTATTGGAGTGTATTGAACAAAATGTCCATTTCTTACAAGTTATTTTTCTGAGTATCATGATCTTCTATATCAATGTCGCCATATCCGGTGTCCAGAGACGACTCTAGTTCAACTGTTTTAAAAACTTTGATGTTCTGTCTCCATCGTGGAAAAGGACTCAAATCAAATGACCAATATGCAAAGATTTGTTCATTATCACTAGTTGTAGGAGTCGTAGGGAAGTTCGTTGACTCAATCAAACCTTCGCGATGCGGGCACTGTACTCTGGATGCAAAGCTTGTCCACGGAGTACAAATTTCACCTAAAAAGGAACATCACTCTAAATTGAAGTCACGAGCGACCACCATCTTGCCAGTAGCTTAAGCTAGCAGGAAAGCAAATATTTGTACGTCCCCTATAAGATATATAGTCTGTTAAAACACGCGAAAACCTTGACAGTTAGTGATAGCTAATTCTATAGCAAATATGGAGTAGAATTTCATTGATATTGCATAAAAATTGCCTTGGCATAACGTTTCCTCATATGGCATATTTAAATTTTTATAACATGACGTATGCCACTAATTGTGATGAATTTATTTCCTCATTGTCATCTGTTGTTTGGTACTCAAGATACTCACCCGTGAACGCCGATTGATTCGCTGTGTAATCACTGGGTCCTACTGTTGAAAACGCTCTCACTTTAAAATCCAAGATCATATAGGAAGTCAACTGAGTCAATGTTATTGATGTTATGGTATCATCAACAGTCAAGCACTGAAAAGTAAACTTTAACATTGAATTGAGGTGAACAATAAGGCAGTTTTTTTTCGCTGAATTCTATGTCTGTCACCTCGCCTAATAGAAAAGCTTTTAGGATTCCAATCTGGGATACTGGAGTACCAATTTTGCCCAAATGTTCACGAGCATGGCGTATATCGTAACTAAGACTGAATGGCAAGAAGTTTCCTTAAGCATATATATAGGATCGAACCTTGAAGTCAGTCGATAATCCTCTAAGCCTTGCAATTTCTATATTTCTTGTAGTAGATCTTGAAACTGCCACGCATACTTCGTAATGAGTAACTTTTCCATTACCGGTTTCTACCGGTTTGGTCCAAGAGACTGTTGCCCGGTCTCTCTTTGCAGTTGGTACAGCAAGATTTGTTGGTGTACCGGCATCTGTTACAGCAAATTCATGAATCGTTTTAAATGAAAGCTCGAGGTCACCAAACCTCATATTTTTCCAATTCAAATGCTTTCTTTATGCAAAGAATAATGAAATTTGAATGTAACAAAAAAAAAGGTTTCAACTTGGTTACGAACATTAAATTAAATTATTACCTCGCTTTGAAGCGACCCAAAAAAATCATTTTTGTCACAAAATATTTTTTAGTAAGATGGATATTTGTGTTTCATTGTAGAGACATATTGAAATGTTCATGTGTCGCTACTCGTTTAACCAGTATTAGTTTATCGCGTCTCCCTTCAATGCCATATTTACGTTTCGTCATTATACTTTCGTATAAAGTGCATTTTCAGTATGCTAAAAATAAAATAATGGGAACTGATTGCATAATTTGGATGCCTCATAACGAGACATATACTGCTACTACATATTGTAAGTGAACCTAACAAACAAGTTTGAATAGAACTCACTTGACTCTGCCGTTGTAACAATTTGTGTTGCAATTCTGTTCGTCACGACTGAAGTTCCAAAGCTTGCTCCTCTTACTTTTATTGAAATGGAAACATTATAAGCAGTGTAAGTTTGAAGTTCAGCAATCACCAGTGACTGAAAATATTTGAAACCAAAGGTAATTGTAAAAAATTTTGAATAGCAATGAAACTATCTCAAATATTGTGTGAAAGAACGTGGAGGAAGAAGGATAATGAGCATGAGGCGATAGGAGGTGAGGATATTTAAGATAACTGGTGGAGAGGAATAGAAATGTGACAAATTGAGAATGTACCTGAGTGATTAAAAATGTCGTATTAACATCGTATTGTCTGCTGAAACTTCCATCAGGAGTGGTGATCGAGATTGTGTATGTTTCAATGTACAAGGCACTTCTCCATGCTGCGGTTACCTCGAAGTTGAGAGATAAACTGGTTGTTGTCTTATTGACCATCAAATTATCAAGAACGATGCTTGCTATAAAAAATAGTTTAAATATTAATTGAGAATCTCTCATATAGGTAATCTAAATAAATTAATGGATAACGACTTACGATTGCATGTTTTCCCGTCTCCGGTATAATCAGTCTTGCATGCACAATTAAAGCTTCCTTGCGTGTTCTCACAATTAGCATTTGTGTCACAAGAATCAGCGAGAGCACATTCATCAATATCTACAACATGAGATAAATATATATATATAAATGACGTAAAATATGATATTTTCGTAAGTTGAAATAATCTTCTGAGAAAAGTACAATATTGTGCATATGTGTTGGTAAATGAGGAATCTGGCGTACAACAATAAAAAATAAGCCAAAAAAAACTTTAAATAATATTCAGATTTGTTTTTTCCACTTGATGTTAAATGCAACATATAAATAGTTCTTACCTAGGTCGCAATCAATTCCTTCATAACCTGGGCAATTAATACATTGATAAGCGAAAGCTCTGTCATCACATGTTCCACCATTTGAGCAAGGATTTGTGGAAGGACAATCATCGGCGTCTGAACGAAACGATAATATTAAAAAAATACTCATATCGTAGTATGCAAGACAAGGTTGGTGCTGGCTATGTGTAAAAAAAAACAATCTTGTTCACCGAGATTTACTATAATTTAAAACAGATATACCATTTTAAAATCATAATAACCCAATAATGACTTTGCTTTTAATATATCAGCGATGAAATTTATGGAAGCACAAAATAAATTTAGACAAAACTTTTACTGTCCGAATAAGATATCATATCGTCTCAATTTACCATAAAAATATTGCAGAAGGAAGCCAGTAGACGAATTCAATCGGTCTGAAGTGAACTCAAGAAAAATGTCGCCTGAGCTAACAATCAACGATTTTTCTGTCTCTGTCAGGTTCAGATATGCGGTTACTGGTGAACTAGAAGGTTGAATGAAGCCACTGCTTCCAACTCTTTCTTTCTCGTTGTATAAATCGTCAATAGGACCAGAAATCTGGAAAATGTAATATAGTAATGAATGCTTTGATTGGGGTAAAATAAATAAGGTAATGAAGATAATGATATGTTAAAACTTTTCTAATTGGCACCACCATTTCATACCAAAGCTCCGGCATAAAGTTATGTTGAATACAACGACTAAACGTACATTAACATCGTAGAACTTATTATTTTATTTATTAGCATTACGTCAGCGCAACCTATTCTCCTTATGATATGTTACGTAAAGTCGAAACGTATTATATATATATATATATATATATATTATTACAAAATATATAAAATAGCCCAAAACGATGCTGCTCGAAAAAGTTAATTACCGCAGCGAATTCCTTCGGTACATCGGATGCGCTTCCAGTAAAGAATGATAAAAAGTCATCTCTTATTTCCGTGTCGAATTTTTTAAACGTGAACTTTATTCCTGAAAATAGAGAATTAAGTTTTTAAAATATTTGAAAGTAACGGGAAGACGGAGAATGGAAAGCTATAGGGTATACATACCTTTGTGCACTGTGTGATTAAAATTCCAAGATGTCTCGTCAAAAACAGGATATTTCGTTATTTCATCAAAAAACAGCGGTATCTCGATGAAACTATCACGTTTTTCATTGACGTTACAGGTTGTATTGTGAAGACAATAATATTCTGTTTTTGAAAATAAATCAGTAATTTCTTTCAAGCCATTTTATTCGACTGGGTCTGGTTCCACTGGCTACGTAACTCATATGCAAGGAATACAATAATACTACAATCTATAATACACATGAAATTTGAACATTCTTTTTGGGTGAGAATCAAATGCCAATATTAAATATATCTAAGAATTTAAACTGTACTCGAAATCATAAGTTATCAAAAAAGAGGTGATTAGACTCAGAAGGAGAGCTATAGACCAGGGCTACCCAACTGGCGGACCGCGGTCCGAATCCGGACCTTTCGGATATTCGATTCGGACCGCGTATAATTCTTTATTTTGGATCATTTTTGAAATTTCTTCATTTTGGACCACTTTTGAAATTTCTTTTTATGAAATCACTTTTATAGATTTTAAAATATATATGAAGAGGACAATAACGCCATAACAAACAATCTTGACAATCTTATCATTAGTCGGCCGAGGAATTAAGGATGTCGAAATATAATTTCTGGGAAGTCCGGACCCAAATATGTTTAAAGTTTTGTATGCGGACCTTCGGTAAAAATAGTTGAGTAGCCCTGGTCTAGACTCTAGACCAGGGGTGCACAACTCAAATGAGGACACGTGCCAAATTTTTCAAAATAATCTTGTCGCGTGCCGCGCACAATCATGGTATTGGACATTACCTCCCGTAAAACAAACAAACTTCAATAATATTACATAATAACGAATATCTATTTATTGAAACAATTTGATTTCCTGAAAAACTGCTGATTTTGATATATAAACGTGATATTTTAATGTATATCATGAATAATTTTTTTTTTTTACAAAACAGTTCGCGTGCCATGTTTGAGCGTAAGGCGTGCCAAATTTGGCACGCGTGCCCCGTGTTGTGCACCCCTGCTCTAGACCATTGATTTCAAATTATTAGTTATTGAAGATGGTGGGAGGCGCTAGAGAGCAATAACTTTTGTACGAAACTCTCTCAAGCCTAACGCGTGACCTGATATTTCACCCAAATTTTGCTACACTATTCAATTAAAGCAAAACCTTTTTTTATACGCAGATCTTCTCAGGTCCCTCGATACCAATATGCAAGTGTCGTGTATGTATACTTTGCCCCAGTCATTCCGACAATCAAATTTAAATTTTTATTCCTAAAATTTTGGTATGTGAAAAATTGCAAAATTGGAACAAATAAATTTTAACACCCTTCTTTCAGCATAGTTATTTGAGCGTAGATGTTGACCAAATCATATGAGCGGTATAGTTTGATGAACTATAGAATATAGCCATAGAAAATATAAAAGTTGGTACATAAAAGAAAAAGCTTGAAAACGACTTAAAATTATAATAAAAAAACTAACTGCAATCTCCAGGCACTCCTCTGTATTCTGGTGTGTTACAAATACATTCAAATGAACCAATCAAGTTTTCGCATGTTGAAACAGGTAGTGTACAATTGTTCAAAGTGCTATCAGAGCATTCATTGACATCTGGAAAACAATTAATAATGTAACATGCAGGGAATGTGTCATAGACGCTTTCAATGTGTCACTCTCTCTTTTATATCTCCTAATATTCGATCCATCAACTTTTCTAAATAACAGTACCGGTATCACTTCATATATATATATGTAGTATATTTGATGTCTTCAATGTGATTTTACAACCTACAGCTTCGAATCAATAAACCTATAGTGACATCATATATTTGTTCTTATGATGACACAAACCAACGCATAATATATTGTTTCAGGTAAAAAAGTAAGCAGTAAACCAGAGCAGTAAACGAGAGATCGTTCAAAAAAGTAATGGACCTCAGAAAAGGTAGTTCGATACAACAATGATTACTATGAGTTTCAGTTGTTTTTTTAAGTGGCTGACTAACGTTATACAAAACAACACACCTGTGCATGTGATACCGTTACCACTCCATCCAGTCTTACAAGCGCATGTGAACGATCCTACGGTATTAGTACAAGAAGCTCTTGAGAAGTCGTCACAGTTATTGCTCGAAGCGCTGTTGCACTCATTAATATCTGCAAAAATATAAAACATAATGTTGTCTAAAACATCAAAAACCTTCAATTTTGCAGACCAAAATAATATAGGCATATTTGAAAATACCGTATTTTCCGGCGAATAAGTCTACCCGGCGAATAAGACGAGGCCTGTTTTTGAGCATGAAAAATGGGTTTTTGCATATAACCGGCCAATAAGTCGGGGTAGTAAAATCGCATCAACGTCGGGAATCTCAAACTACCATGCAATGCCTTTCGAGCGGTCGCCGCGTTTGCGCATTGGTTGAAATAGCCTATGACTTTTTTTTGTAGCGTAATATTCAATCCATATATGATAATGCAAATATGATAATCACAGCATTTAAATTTCAGATTCACAGCAGGAGAATGTCGATTTATTTAAACTAACCTGATGAGGATGTGGGGGATGCTATCGCCGAAGGTATTTTATTGTCGGGATTCAATAATAAGGCGACAAAAAAATGAAAATGATCATACTCGCCTAATAAGACGACCTCCCCCAAAATCAGGCCAAAAATTTGGGTCTAGAAAAGCGACTTATTCGCCGGAAAATACGGTATATATATATATATAAAAGAGAGTAATTCTCAAATATATGAACACGAAAGCCAAAACGAAGTATATCAAATCTTTTACAGTACCGGTACTCTGACCACCATATCGCTGAAATGCGATCACGGAACTGCCACAAGGTACGCAACTTTTAATTTTGATGACGTCATCACACAAAACTTCGAAGTAAAATACAAATTCCCATAGGATTTTTTAAAATAAATAAAATTAATAGCATTAACAACAGAAAGAAGAAGAATACCACTACCCCCAACGACAATTTAATAAAACGATTCAAAAGTTCACTTCGCGTCCAACACAGCAGCAAGGAGAATTTTTCCCGGTGCAGTCCATGGCATAGAGAGTGATATCATATCACCATGGTCATAAAAGTCAACGCTAACCAAGTTCACAACGATTATATACTTACGGTAGAAGATAAATGTTATAAAGTGGTTAAGTTTTTTTTAACTCTTCATCTTTTAACAATATAACAAAATGTAATCCCCAAAAAATACATTTTGACGATGTTGCATGTTTTTATATATATGAATGCATTATAACAAACTATTCGATTCATTTAAATCAGTCACATTGATTTAATTTGATCGCAGCGTCAATTCGACTCGGGAATTTATCCTAAAATCGATTAAACCCTCATAGAGATTTCGATAATGGTCAGCGCCAAACACAGCCCACACACAATCACTACTTGCTATAAGCGATAAGATCACGTCTGCCTACCAATTTGCATATTTGGACTGATATATATTTATTGGACAAACAAGGATAAATTGCTATATAAGAAATAAATTGTTTGCAATAAACAAGCGTTGTGTATAGTAGCGGTTGGAACAAAAAAAATTGACACTCTTTTATCACTACGGTTTTCGCCTTCAACTCTTTGAGTTTGGTAAAGCTGTATCGCGAAAAAGTCCGCCAAATTTATTATATAATTAAATGAAAACTTTCAGAGGTAAAGTTTAAAAGCAACTATTCGACGGATGTTTACCTTCACAAGTTTCTCCATCTCCGGTAAATCCGGTGTTGCAAGCACAACTGAAGCTTCCAGGAATATTCGTGCATGTGGCTCTGGTGTTGCAATTGTCCGTTTTTAATGTGCATTCATCATCGTCTGAATAAAGTATTAAAATAAAAACAAAATGATGCAGCGATATCGATACAGGAAATATCGCCTATTTTGACAATTCAGTATGGTAAATTCAAACATACATATATATATTGCACAATGCAAAACATGTCTGGTATAATGTTTTCGGCTTTTTTTCACTATCATTTTACACAGTTTTCAATCCCCTCCTTTCTATCAATCCCACTAAAATTTACCCGTGCACGTCAATCCGTTTCCAGTGAAGCCAGAATCGCATGCACAAGCGAACGAGCCATCGTTGTTGGTACAAGCAGCATTCGTGTCGCATGGGTTGGTGTCGCACTCGTTCTGATCTGCATATGAAAAATCAAATCAGCACATTCGTAATGTATCATGTATAAATGCACAATACATGACTGGTCAATGCCCTATCTATCAATCTATTATGGAAAAACGATACTTGATGGAATGTCGATTTTTTGAATTTAGTTTGAATGAAAATGTTCAATTTTTAGTGTGATATCACGCAATATATGTGGGTTTTAGTTTACTTTTATAATCGTTATCATCAAAAATTTACCTAGAGTGATGTCCGCAAAGCTATATGCTAAATTGCAAGGATCCTCTTAAACTTAAATGCAGTTGAGCTCATGTAACATTGTTTGTTGTTTCATGTCTAGAATTAATTCAACACTTTTCGATGGCTTATCTTTGAATTTAATTCAACAATATATTATTTGCTCAATACTTTGACGTATTCATAATCACAGTCTGATTAAGAGTAAATCATACCGGTACATTCGATTCCAGTTCCAGTATACCCTGTCTTGCATGTGCAAGTGAAACTACCGGCAGTGTTTCCACATGTCGCATTCGAATGGCAATTGTCTGTCTTGAGTGTACACTCGTCATTGTCTAAAAACAAAACAAAATTTGTGTAATGTTCTCCTGTTGTTGTCTTAATGCAATAAAACGAAGAAGCATACTCTGGCTGTGTACATTTCTAATTTTACCTGCGCAGTTGAAACCGTCTCCTGTAAACCCGATTTCGCAAGCACAAGTGAAACTTCCATCATTGTTTGTGCATTTTGCATTGTTGTGACAAGTGTCTGTTTCAGTGGCACATTCATCGATATCTTCATAAATAAAAAATAAAAATTATATGACATACAATATATAATTCACACCAATGAGTATAATTTAGAACCTTTTATCATAGATTTATTTGTCTTATATAAATTTTCATTTCACTGCAAAACTACAAGATAGAATAGTGAAATAAATCATTTCATAAAAGCACTTCACCTGTACAAGTTTGTCCAGTCCCGGTGTATCCTGTCTTGCACTTGCATGTAAAACTCCCGTTGTTATTAGTACAATCTGCTTTATCGTGGCAATTATCTGTATTGGTTGTACATTCGTTGATATCTGGTAACGATAATTGTCAGGAGATTAGAAAAAGGCAATTTCAAATGAATTAATCTGACCAAAAATTATAACTTTACCGATACAAGTTCTTCCGTCTCCTGTGTAACCTATTTTACAAGCACATAAGTAACTTCCAATGGTGTCGGTACAATCAGCTTGAGCGCTACAGGCATTCGTAGTTGGTGAATCGCATTCTTTTATATCTGATTATAGATAAAATTAAAAAATTAACACTATGACGTAACAATAGTCAGAATATATTTTCATGAAAAAATATAATACTGTATTTTAGGGAACGTGAGTCGCACCGTATCATAAGGCCCTTGAAATATCTTTTTTTTTTTGGATCCATAAAAGTCAATTTAATACTGTATATGAAAACTTTCCTGTCATTATCTGTCGGGCAGGGAAACGCAATGAGGTTACTGCTGGTAACAGTTTTATTCCTGTGTTGTAAAATCAATAGGAGAATTACTATAAATCTGCCCAGGAGGTTTTTAGTGCAGACACACAAGATGTGTATCACATTGCTTCGTGTTGATTAGAGGTGATGGATCGTCTCCGGTATTAAAAGTAATAGATTATCTATTTCTATAATTCTCAGTTTGATTTATTTCTAAATATATCAACGGGCGTATGATAGAGTAATGTGTGCACCTTTGTTTATTCACAGAAATTAATCAAAACCAAGATTCTCACATTAAATCTTCAAAAAATGGACGTATTCTTATCAAAATTATGCTGAAGCGTGTTTAGCTCGTATAAACGCATCCTTTTACACTCAGAAAAAGCCAAACTTTAGAAAAAGAGAATATATATATATCTACTGAAAACGTTTATGTCAGAGTATTTCTGTCGGGTTTCAGCCCAATTAGATATGTCAAAGACAAGTTTGAAGCCTGATATAAATAAACGTGCCTGTACATGGTCCACCAACACCACCCTCGTACCCAGGATTACACGAACAGTTGTATCCACCAATTTTGTTGACGCAAGTACCGGTATCACCACAAGCATGAGTTCCTACAGTACACTCGTCAATATCTGAAAAAACATAAAATTCGAGGTACACTATTCAAAATTTCCAAGAATCAGAACATAGCCGGAATAATTTAAGCTTTCAAGCTTTCTTATATATATATCGAATTTTATCATAAACAACACAAATTCAACGTACCTACGCAGGTGGTTCCATTTCCAGTATAAAATATTTTGCATGCACATGTGAAACTTCCCACTGTATCTGAACAATCTGCGTTCGTGTCACAATTATCCGTATTTCTGGTACATTCGTCGATATCTTAAAAAGTAATATAGCACTTCTGACCACAAAGATTATTCACCTGGGTATGGGTTATTTCAACAATCAATGCAGGTAAGAAGCTTTTGGACACGAATCGTACATATGGATCGTTTTTCTATATTGTTGTTACTTTTGGAGCGAATGTTATTATCAGGAAATATCTCGCAACCGATAAACCACCTGATTTCAACTTTCAATTAATTAAAAAAGTTTCCGGATTTTCAAATTTTTTTCTGAGTTTTATAGGACCCGCCATTTTCTCCATGAAAAGTTCCCGTTAATTTTAATTTTTTTTGTCACGCACTTTATTCTGTCACGCTTGTCTGCCTTCGTCACGCATGTGCGCCGATATTTTCTGAAAGCTCAGCACTTAGCTGGGTTCTACCGGTATCAATGGGCGACCTATATGTACATATATATGTGAGAATTTCCTTCATGCTCAAAATTAAAGCTCATATCATGATCCTATTAACCAATAGAAATGTAATGCAATTATTACTTTGATTACTTACTAGAGCAAGGACCATCAGTTCCATTTTCGTATCCGGTGTTGCAGGTACAGTCGTATCCACCTGGCTTGTTTGCGCATGTTCCGGTTAGAGCACACAGATGGGTATTGTCCCCATCAGGGCACTCGTTAATATCTGTTTTCAAGATAACATGGTTTTCAAGTTGTTTTGAATAATAGGCTTTCAAAAATTGACGTATCATGCATGGTATGCAAACACCCATAGAAGGATCAATGTTCCATAATATTAATTGAATGCACGTGGATGCCTGTATTCCAATGCTCTAAGAGCTCAGTATAAAATAGAAGAAAACTTTTTGAAATACATACTCAAGATTTTTAAAGATCAGACATTTTTAAACAATGCCGATAGAGGATTCTGTGAAGTTGATGATTTTGTGATCCATCGACATGAGTGTTGAACATCGATGAAAGCACGTGAAGATTAAATGGTATCCATGACGTAAAACTAGTAGCCTACCTTCGCAATGTGTTCCGTTGCCGGTGAAACCAGTTTTGCATGTGCAAGTAAAACCTCCGGCAGTATTTGCGCAGTTTGCGTTCGCATCACAGTTGTGTTTAGGTGAGGTTGTATCACATTCGTTCACATCTGAAACAAGAATTAAAATATAATGATAATGAAGCGAGATGTCCTATTTTGAAAACGTCGTATCGATTCTCAATAAGCCGAATAAACATTAAGTTAACCTTCTACACTAAAACTCAAAAATAGAATAATATAACTTACCAGTTTCACATCTCGAACCAGTCCAGGCTGGAGTGCAAGCACAAGACGCCGTATTGAAACCTGTTCTTGAGCAAGTTCCTCCATTCAAGCAATGAGTAGCATCACCAGTAAACAAACACTTATTAATGTCTAGAAAGAAAACAATATCATTGGTTTTGAATAACTGAACAACCTAACAAAAATACACTGATTAAAATTGCACATTCCGTTGATTTATGTTAGTGCCTATATGTAAATATACCCAATGGAACAATTTTTCTCTAATCATTAATTTCAATGCTCGACAATGAGTTCGTTCGTCAGTGTTACGCTCTTTAATATTCGCCGATAAAAGCTCAAATTTTCAGCGAATAAAATTGAGTGACTGCAACGAAGCTAACCAAATTTGATTCGGAATTAAAATCGATTTCACCATACATTGAAGCTCAGATTGATATCTAAAAATGTTTTTATTTTTTCCGAATATGAAAACTTCAAACCGGCATAAAAACTGCCATACCTGCTTCATAATCAATGAGAAAACCTTTTCCCCCAATTGTGTCATCCACGGTGTAAAAGTCCATAATAGCCGTCTCATAGTTTTGCAAGTCATACGTGTTTCTTCCGGTTAAATTCAACACATCAACAATAGGCCCGTCTTCAACGTCTTGGACATATATCAAACCATCAGTGGTAGAATTCGAAGTAAATGTAACATTTCTAAAAAAAATTTTGAATAATATGGAAATGTTTTTCATACTAAATAACAAATGTAATATGCGAGCAAATAATGTGAATATGTATAATTTAACATTTTTGTTTGTTCATTTTTGTTTCTATACCAAACGATTTGCATTGCGCTTTGAAAGTTGAAAAAGCAAAAATAGTTTCAACCAATAAAATAAACATACATTGTAATAGTTGGATTAGCTTGTTGCCATCAAAACTTCAAAAATGGAAAAAGGCAAACGCCTTAACAACCTATTTTTTATTTTATTTATAAGCATAATAATTTCATTTTGTCACACAAACATGTAAAAACATATAAAAATATCATAAAAAAATATAAAATAAATATAATAAAATATATTTTGGCTTTCAATGGACAGGAGTACTTTATTTTATTAATTGATTTACATTTATGATCGGAACTCACCTGATAGCAAGAGTATTCAATCCATCTTTTTCCGTACCTGAACCAATGTAAAGTCTATCACTTTCCGCCAGTTGAAAGTCAAGAATTGTAAGTCGATATCCTGCGTTGGTGAAAATAGAAAAGTTAAAATAGTAAATTTTAACAAATTGGCAGGTTGTCTGTAAGCAGGTTTATTCAAATTTAATTTAAAATGGCAAAATTTCTGCCACCGATTCCGATTTATCGGTGCATCTATATAGACTTTCTTATAAATCTCTTGACTTACCAAATATAAATGCACTGTCGAATGTGATATTGACTAGTTTGAATCCGGAAGTCAACTCTTTCGGGTAATTTGTTCTTGTACCGTCATAGCAAGGTGATTGCACTGTTCCAGTTTGTCCAGTTCTAGTCACAAGTTCTTGGTCACGATTGCAGGAGAAATTTGCTAAATATAAGAGCAATATGAAAAACTGCAAAGAAATTGTGTTTCCAAAAAAATACACGTTAATTCTGTAAGTTACGAAGTTGTAAAAAACAAATTTCAATATATATATATATAAATATATGGAACAAAAGCATATTCACATTTGAATTTCAAAATTTGACTGGTATGTTAATTATCCTAAAATGCGCATAAACGGAGCTAACGAGAACTCGCAGTACTATCGTTATAGGTATAAAAAGATGTTTTTAATGTAAATTCATCACGGTATACCTCCCATCGCAATTTTATCAAATTGCGATTCGAAATATCAGATTGTTCAGACATACAAGAAACATTGTTGAAACATTTTATAAGACTGAAACTCACCAACTGCAGTATAACCTTCAATTTGTCCCTCCGTTATCCGTGCTACAAAGCACAGACAAAGAACAATTTTCCACATTTTGTTTTCCAGTTAAATCTATCTAATATTTTATATATTTTCTAAATTATAACAAATTCTAATACCCACTGTATAGCGTAAAATTAGCACATTTCAGTTTAAATGGTGTGTAGAGTAGAGTGCAACGAAATAATATAGTTTAGCGATTATTATATAAAGTCTATAGCATTAGAGATGACTGTATAACATTACGTTGTGACATTCAAAGAAGAAACGTACCAATAAATATTATTGGTATATCAAATACAAATAGAAAATAACAAAAAACGAAATTTCAAAATGTTAAGAATATTCCAGAGTTTTATGCTTGTAACCCACGAAACTCAAATCTTTGTAGCTTCCCGGCATTCGCAGCCCATGAATTGAAAAATAAATTACTTTAGATTAAATTATTAATTAATTACAAACTTCATTTGAATATAGAATTTTGACGTTGCGCATAAGCAATATGCTATCCTGCCTGAGTTTAGTTATATTTGAACTATGTTGTCTAAATTCAACTGCCTTTCCCCCAAATCATATAACTAGTTCCCTTGAAATAGTTTTCAAATGAGACCATTCCTGTAAAGTAGGCCCCCTTTGGGTTACGCCCAATTACGTGTTATTCTCGAGACTGAGCGAGTGCATGCTTTCAGGTTATCCATGCGTTCAAGCGTTAAAACCCCGTCTTAGGACGACTTCGTTATACCTGGAAGCTCGCCGAGAAAGAGATTTTCGAAGCAATGAAGCAAGTCAAGAACGCAAGTCTAATCTGAAACGTTTTTAGGAAAATTTCCAAAGTATAAGATAATCTAGTACGACTAGGCAAGTCTATTTTGATTTAAAATACAAAAAGCTCATATTTGTTCTTATATTGATTTACGCAATATATATTCCATTGGCCGCAGTGAAAAGTCAAAGCATTTAGGTGGATGTTTGATTTAATTGGTAAAATTATACAACTCAAATTTTAGTCTATTTATCTCGAAATAAAATGTTTTTCAATGTGTTAGTAATTAATTTTGTTTGATTAAAGATATTTTCCAGTCCCCCCAAAATATCGAAAGACTTTAACGACAAATTCAAATTCGATTCAAATCGAACATATTATAACTAGAAAAGCATTGACAATTTGTTTACTAGAATCACTCTACAGAAAAATTCCTTTTCTGCATTCGCATTGTTCGACTAATTTTGAATCACAACAAATATGTTATTTTGAATTTTTTTTTGCGATACTAGAGTATCGATGTGTGTTATGTGCTATATAAAGTAAGCGTTTTCTTTTTTTTATATAATATTTTTTTAAGGCACTGTAATTGACCAGAAAGATATCGGCTTGGGTTTGCCCATTACGTGATCCATTTCTAAAGTATTACTCAAAGCCACAAGTTTAAAATTTATTCATGTTCAACCAAGCGTTGTTGAGATTGCAATTTGGAAAAGCTCGATATATGATTGGGTTTATATAAACTTTTTATAATTCTGTACATAGTCACGACTGTGTCGCGTTACGCTTTCCAAAAAATGAATTGTTATTCATTATGTGTATACTAAATTGAAGACCTTTTTACAAAACTTGCTGTAAAGCATTTTTGAAAGTTGTTGGTGATGTAAAGTTTCAAATTCCACTAACTATATGAAGTAGCATTGATACTATACAATCAACATATCTATTTTCATTAGTTTTATTATATTTTTTTTATGCTAAAGGTTGCAAATTGCTGTTCAGAGCGGTTATGGTTCCAAAGGATCGGTTGTAGCATAACTTGAAATGCAATAGATTTTCGATCGAATGCGTGGCTTTAAAATTCTTTTTTATCACCGAGTGCCTTTTTCATTAAGACAGAAACCGGGTAGCTGAAACACACCACACGCATATTTGCTTCATATCATAATAATCGGGAAGGATGATGTATGAGCCGCATTAGAAAAATATAAACATTTGTTCTACTCAAAAGATGGACTCAATTTATTCGAGAGTTGTTTCTATAGAAATGTAACTTGACTTCTGAGCTTATAACGCTCTAAAATCGTTCCAAAATTTATTGACGCCTAATATTATTTCTGAATTTTCGTAAAAAACAATGTCTTACCATAACTGGTATCATAATTTCCTTTGAAACACGCTCATTCACTGAATATTTGGGTGGGGCATATTGGAGACTGGAAATTGGATAGAAAATCCACATTCTGTGTCTTGTGCTAAAATTCCCAATTTTTGATGTTTAAAATATGCATTCCTTTAAATACGCTGATGTGACCGCATGCTTTTCAGAATTCCCCAAATGCACTTCGTGTGATTTTACCGGCGAAATATGTTAAATAAAAAAGATTACTTCTCCAAATACCAGGCGTGCAAAGAACCGTGTCCCACCCACATCGTAACAGAGAACAGATTCCTAAATTTGAAAAAAAAATGAAAAACGCTAGAACTATTTTGGATGCGTTTTATCGTTCGCCCATATTTAGTCTATTGCACAAGAGTAAAATGAGTTTCGAGAGTTGCGCAATTTTGCACGTTTATTTTTAGTCTTAACTTCAACTTCTAAATCTTTTACATTTCCATTGACTGTTGGAAATTTCTCTTATACTTATGTGTACGGAAACTTCACGCTTCGCCCGACCTCCTTTTTTCGGAATAGGTTTGGACAAATGACAAGTTATGTTTCCTCGACATTTGACCCCAGACGGAATTTTTCGATAACTTTCCATTGCAAGAATGTTTGTTGCTACTTTATAGAAACTTGCTCAAAGTCAGGTCACGAGAGTTTACTCAAAATGAAAGAGAATAGTTCCTGAGTAAAGCTGCAGAAACCACTAAAATGCTGAAAGCTACTGACACTATGAACAATTATAAATATTTTGCTAGTTTTGATTTTAACGTTAATCTAACGTAAAATAAGCAAAGTTGAAGGATGCAAATACCTATTCTTCTACTTTACCCATTAGAAAAATTTACCGTGTCGAAGCTTTACTGGGGCCCGAACTCGCTGTTCTAGTTGGCCCTAATTTACTTTTAGCGGGTATTATTAAGTATAATATAATAGTTTGTTTCTTGTTAATAGAAGCCCACCTAACACAGCAAGCTATATTATATTTCAATGATGTATAGTGTAAAAACGTTGTCTTCAAATCTGACTTCAAAATTTGATTCTCAACTAAAGTAAAAAAAAAAAATTCCTTCAGACCCGGACACCGCGATACCAAAATTTTTACAACAAAATTGTTTGATTTTTCTCTTTTTGTTTAAAAATTTTCGACCCTAAATTTAGAAGTCTGAACTTATGGCTTCGTATTTCGACTCATATTTTTACCCCAAAACTAAACAATTCCTGACCCAAACTCTAACTTCACAGTCTCACAGTAAATACAATAAAATCATTAAGTCGCAAATATAAAATAAAATACAAACAATGTTCGTATACCGAAGTAACTTATATAATTCAAAATCATACAAAGAAATCAATTTTAAACTATTTATGATTCATACAATATATCACTGTACTGTATGCTGCGTCGAAAGTAATATCCCATTCTCCTAATATTTACCAGTCACGAAACATTTATACGAAATAAAAGACTTCATTATCACTTGTTGTGTTGGTAGAAATGATTTTGGATTTTAAGGGTGGGACCTTTGTGCGTCATTTTTGCGTGATATGGGTAACGTAAAATTAACAACAATACGTCACATTCTTTTACGCCCGTATCCGGCATTTTATCATTTATCAAAATCGAGGTTTGGTCATGAAAATAAAAAAAACAAATTATGGTTTTGCTGATTATTCTGTTAACTTCTGACAAACATTCCTAGGAATGTGACAGTTGTGGACTGTCGATTTCTCTGATTCTACAATATACATTTCAAGAATGGAAATAAACCCGTTAAAAGGTAAAATTCTTTAATTTTCAGTACTTAAACAATGATCAACAATGGGAAAAAGTGGTAATATCGAAAACTCAGTTTTGCTTTTCAAAATATTACATTTCCTAATCCAAAAACAAATAAACCTATTCAATTTTATAAAAATAAATATTTATGAATAAATTTATACGTGGTTCGTTGTTAAACACGATCCATTTCATTGATTACGTGACCCTTCCATTTGTTCTACTTGCTGGCAGATAAACTTGATTGAGGTTTTGAACTTCGTCTTTTCCAAAATTGAGGTTATATTATATCAAAGAAAATTCACGACATTTTTTATAATTACTATAATCTATCTTCGACTATTTTGCAGATAAGACAACGATTTGATTCAGATACCCAACATGGACAAGCGACAAGCTTTTCATAGTAACATAAAAGTGAAACTGAACCATCAATTTTCAGCAAAATGTATATCCTGATAGTCTTACAATTTTGTGAATTTAAGACTAAAACAAATATGTTTTAATTCGGGAATCGAATACATCCAAAAATGATGATATTAATCGAACCAATGCTGATTGTTTTGTGCGAACGAAATAATAATAATTGCCTGCATGCATATCTGTAAAATTGAAAAAAAAAAATTCAAAACACTGATATTTTTGTGACTGCCACTCTGGTTAGCTTTCCCTCTTTCCACTCTTG